AGTGTTCTTTAATCTGGGTAAGATTCAATTCCTCTTTCTTTTTTCCTTTATGGATTATGCTTTTGTTGCTTGGCTAAAATTTTTAAAATTTCACCTAACCCAGGGGCGGAAAAGATTTTTTTTTTTACATTTTTCCTAGAAATTCTTTAGCTCCACATTTCACAGTTTCATCTGTGATCCTGCTTAAGTGAATTTTGTATTATTGCGTCAGTGTTCTCCAAGCTCAGCTTTTTGCATATAAAATAAAACCCCTTGCCATCAAGTTAAAGCCAACTCATCACCTACAGGACAGAGTAAGACTGCCCCATGGGCTGTAAATCTTACTGGAAGAAGAGTTTGCCACATCTTTATTCCACAGGGCAGCTTGTGGGTTTGAACCACCAACCTTTTGGTTAGTAGTCAAGTGCTTTAACTACTGTGCCACCAGGGCTTATCTTTTTACATGTAGAGATCCATTTTTTCTAGCACCATCTGTTGAAAAGATTACCTTTTCTCCACTGAATTGTCTTTGCAATTTTATCAAAAATTAATGACCGTCTATATATGTGAGTCTGTTTCTGGGCTCTGTTATTTGCCGTTATTTATGCCCAGACCACACTGTATTGATCACTGTTACTGTACAGTAAAGTTTTAAAATCAAGTAGTGTACCTTATTTCTCCAACTTTGTTCTTCTTTTTCCAAGCTTGTGTTAGCTAAGCTAGTCAGTTTTTCACATTTTCATGTCAATTTCCAGAATCAGTTTTACCAATTCCTACAAAAGCCTACTGACTTTTGTATTGAGATGCCACTGAATCTATGCATCAAGGACATCTTGACAGGATTGAGTCTCCCAATCCATGAGCACAGGGCAGCTCCCTTGATTTGGATCTTTTGTTTCCCTCAGCAGTGTGGCGTCTCGGGCTTTCACGTCTTTTGTCGGATTCATCTCTAAGTATTTCATGTGTTTTGTTGCTGTAAGTAACCATTGTGATTTCAATTGACTTGAAAGCTAGTATTGAGGTTAAAGGGCTAAACTCCCTTATTGTCTGAAAGCTTTCTCACAGATTTCATAGGACTCTAGGGTTGCTTTTTTCTCTTACTCTGACTTCATCTACCAGAATGCCCTTCCTGGCTCCTGAAAAATCAAGATGTGGAACCCATATCCTTATTTCCCTTAACTCTTTCCAGAAAAAATAAATAGGGTAAGTTGGGATTTTGCTTGGCTGTGTATGCATAGCAAAAATAGCGTTTCCATGTGGTTTGGTTTGTACGTAAAATTGCACTTCTAGGAGAATCTCCTGGTAAAGCAGTGGTTTCCAACCTGTGGGTCACGACCCCTTTGGGGATCGAACGACCCTTTCACCAGGGTCGCCCGATTCATAATAGTAGCAAAATTACAGTTATGAAGTAGCAATGAAAATAATTTTATGGTTGGGGGTCACCACATGAGGAATTGTATTAAAGGGTAAAGGCATTAGGAAGGTTGAAAACCACTGCAGAAGATATTGTAATAATGAATACATTATTTTGAATCACTTTTCAAATGAGTGGGTGATGGTTACGTTGCTCTAATATAAAAGTGTGTGTCTCCGCAGGCAACCATCAATATTGTTTTTGATCGGGTTGGAAAAACAGATCCTGTGACAAGAGGCATTGAGATCACTGTGAATTATCTGGGAATCCAATTTGATGTAAGAGATCTATTTTCACTATCCTGGTTTGTTTTCATTCTCTTCCACCTGCTATAAATTACAATCGTGAAGAGTCTAACTATTTTACTTTAAGCAGTCGCTTCTGCCCCTCCACTCTTCTGTGTCTCTGCTGACATGTGGGCGTGGCAAAATTAGAAGAGCCTTGATTCTTTCTCACCATGGAACCCTAAGACTGGTACATATTGCTGCCATGGAGGATGCTGAAGTCTGCAGCACCCCTCCCTGTGGCCAGCTACCGCTTCGCGGCTTCCATCCCACCAAGTCCTCAGATACTTCTCTCTGTGCTCTACGATGAGATCTTTAAAACAGCCAGCCTTTGCTTTCTCTGGTAGAAAATTAACTACTAATTAATGTTCCGTGTTAGAACTGAAATAGGTTCTGCTATAAAAAAATAATCTTGATGAAATAAGTAGTAATGAAGTGTGGACTTTGAGTTAAAGGTAGTAACTGTCACCTGTACAGGGTTTATTTGCTTATTGTTTTCTCCTCATAAAACAGGATCTTTTAACCTTTTTTTAAGTATCCCTATTTATCTATCACTGTCATTGAGTCAATTCCGATTTATAGCTCCCTGAGGACAGAGTAGATCTTCCCCGTGAGTTCCCGAGGCTATAACTCTTGATGAGAGTAAAGAGCCTCATCTTTCTCCCAGAGAACGGCTGGTGGTTCTGAACTGCTGACCTTGGGCTTAGCTGCCTAGCACATAACTACTGTGCAACCTTGAATAAGGAGGATCAAAGCAGAATCTATGTATTTGAATTAAGGTGTTGGTGAAGAATACTGAAAATACCTTGAGTTGCCAAAAACAAACAAATCTAACTTGGAAGAAGTCCAGCCAGAGTGCCCTTTAAGTCAAAGATGGAAGACTTGGTCTCGGGTGTTTTGGACGCATTGTCCGGAGAGACCAGTTCCTAAAGAAGGCATCATGCTGATAAGGTAGAGGGGCAACAGAAAAGCGGAGGGCCCTCCACAAGACAGATTGACACAATGACTGCAAATATGGGCTCAGATATCAGAACACTTAGGGGGATGGTGCATGACCCGGCGGTGGGCAGAGTTTCGTTCCGTGGTGCATGGATCACTGTGAGTCAGAACTGACAACATCATTATTAAATTTACCCTTACAAGTTCAATAGCTGTACTCATAGAAGACTATTTTCTAGCTATCACACGGTTCAGTCAAAAAGTATTGCTATAAATCATGGCAGCCTTTAGTAAATGAAAATAGCGAGTGCTAAGCGATTGTCTCCTGCACACCCTCCGTTAGGTGACAGATACCATTCTGAAAGCAGTGTCCCCGTCTTCTACCCGGAATGCCGCACTCTTCGCTCTCAGCCAGGGCGGCCCACAGAATAGCACGTGGGCATCCTTGAAGGCCTCAGCTAGTATTTCTTTTCCATATTCTGGAGTTTGGGGAATAAGAAGCAATCTGACGGGTAAGCTGCGGTCTAGTGCTCTCAGTGAAGCCCCTGTAGGAGAGCTCCTGGCCCTCACGGAGGAGGAGCAGGTGTCTGTGTGCTGGAGAAGATCGGCCTCAGCGCTCTGCAGCCGTGCGCTTTGTTTCTGCAGAAAGCTCCTTTAGTAAGCCCCTGGGATTGCCCGTGTCCTTTAAGAGAACCTGACAAGATTTGGACCATAGGGCCTGCTGCATGGTGGAGTCACAGAGACAGTGTTTTGCATCCTACTTGGTGAGTAGTGACCATCTAAGCTGCCGTCATGGTCTCCTTCCATCTGGAAGCAGGGGGACTGGTGAAAATCAAAAGACATGGAAATAATTAGCCCAGTGAACCACACAGGCATCAGTCAGTGAGCCCGAGACCAGAAGCACTACTTGATATCCACCTACTATCAGCAACTGTTTTAAAAAGAACCACATTAGAAGGTTCTGGATAGAGTAGGAGAAAAATGCAGAACAAAGACTTACATTCATAAAAGAAAGTGGTCAGAGCGAGCCCGGGGTAGGCACCACCAGACCACGGCCCTTACTTCCCATCTGGACTGAAATCCCCTCTGGTAGAATCATCACCGTTGAAGGACCAGTGCAGAGAGAAGGTCAGGAGAGGAGAGGAGAGAAACGGGACCCACGGAGAAGGGCACTAGTGACGGTCAGACGAGGGGTCGCAGTCAGAGTTGACAAAGGTGGATGCACTGTTGAATGTAAAGCTGCTGATCTCCAAAAACCTTCACCTAATTCACAATCTTACAAAAAATTATTTTTTTTTTATCTTTGGCATAATTTGAGAGGAAAAACAGCACATGCTTCTGAGTTGAGTTCTCTGCCTTGAATCTACGTGGCCCAGCAGATCCCCGGGGAAGCCAGTTTTGATTAGGCTTTTCCTTCCCTAAGACACCCTGATGAGACTGCGGCAAGTGTGTCACTGAGAACCTGTCTTCAGCCATGCAGGGATCACAGAGTGGTTTAGTCACGCTGGGTCTGAAGTAAGCCGGCCATGTGTGGACGGGATCCCTAGTGGCAGTTCCTTTGGCTCACCCTGGTTTGCATGAGCAGTGGTTCTGATTGAGAAACACTTGACTAATGAACCCAGCCAGGAGCTGTCGTGATGTAGATTGTGTGCTGGCTACTAATCACAAGGTCAGCAGTTCAAACGCACCAGCTGCTCCTCAGCGGGCGGGGGCGGGGGGAGCCTTTCTGCTCCTGTGAAGATTTAGTTTTGGAAACCCACAGGAGCAGTTCCACTTGTCCGATAAGGTCACCAGGAGTCAGAATCGACTCAGTGACAGTGGTTTGACTTTGGCTTTGGGAGTAAGACCAGCAAAGTGTTCTTAGTGCTGTGGGTTGTTGAGCCCTGGTGGCGCAGTGGCTATGCGTTGGGCTGCTGACCTCAAGGTCCGCAGTTTGAAACCATGGGGAAAAGATGAGGCTTTCTAAAGAGTTAAGTCTCGAAAACGCACAGAAGCAATTCTGCCCTGTCCTATAGGGTCATTGAGTCCACATCGACTTGATGGTGGCCGGTTTGTGTTTGATGATCCCAGACTCTATGCTCCCCTACCATCCCTCTCAGTAGGACATGTGCCCAATGGTGCCTGGTTGAAACAACGAACTACGGCAAATTTAGCTCCAGTCCTTGTGAAACAGCGCAAAGTCCCATATATACTCGAGTTTATTCCATAAAGTGCCATATATCCTCGACCCAGATATCAGCGGAGGCGCCTAATTTTACCCCAAAAACTGCATTAAAAATGTGCTAGAAAACTCAGCTGTACATGAGTATATGCGATATATGTTTTTCAGTGGCAAATCAATGACATCCTTTTATGTATAGAGGTGCAGTGTACAAATTGTACTATTTCTCACTGTTGTTACATATGTGCCAAGACGAGTTGCTGTGTGCACAAGTATTTCATTCATAATTGAAGTCTATGGTCCCTATTTCATGATTCTGCACGACAGACGTGGATGTCAGTAATAGCAGCTCTCCCTCAGGCACTTCGCAGCCTTGACTGGCGTCCCACAGCTAAGTGTCACTCGGAGGCAATGCCACAGGAGGCCAAGGTCCTGCCCTGTGGGTCAGGTGGCCTTGGTGCTTTCTCAGAGCTCAGCGCGCATATCCCCTTCTTATCAAAAGGAAACATCTTCAAGTTTTAGGTAATCAGAGAATTATGGTTCAGTCAATCTACTGAGATAGTTTCCTTTTAATTCCTGCTTTTCCCTAATCACACAGGTTCTTTCATTAGCTCTGCATTTCGGGTTTATCCTCATCACTCGGTCCTCAAGGTGCCATTAAGTCTGCTAATTGAGGTAGCCGCTGCAGGGGTTTCCATCAGCACATACTTGCTGTCCTCCCTGTCTAAAAATTACAGATTCTAAAAAGCTAGGGCCTGAGTCAAGGCTGACTCAACGGCATCCAGCCCCCACGCTGGCGTCCCTGCTCCCTGTCGCCCACGTGACCAAACTGTAGCTCTGCAGCACAGCTCTCTGAACAAAGTCTGACCAGATTTTTTTTCTTCTTCTTCCTGTTATGGTGGCAGGTGAAGTTTTGGTCCCAACACATTTCCTTCATTCTGGTTGGCATAATCATCGTCACATCCATCAGAGGGCTGCTGATTACTCTTACCAAGGTATTCTATATCACCGTGTGAAACTGGAGCGTTTGTGTCATTAGCTGTGATGCCAGGAGATCGTTGTACCTAAGGATTTCTGCCTTCTGAGGTCTGAGAAAGCAGACTCGAGACATACAACCGAATGACTTACGTGTTAAACTAATATATCTGCATCACATATAACTTATAGCTAAGTATGTTAACCAATGGTAACACCCTGAGACCAAGGTCTGTTTCCTTCCCTGGTCTGGCACAACATTTAGCACAGGACCTGGCTCTGTAAGCGCTGGGCAGGTCTTTGGAATGAACGAGAGGGAAGAGAGTGGGGATAGACTAACTGGGAGAGTCGTCTGCAGAGAGGATATGGTTGGAGAGGAATTGGAATGTTCAGCTTCTTTCTCATTAACCTAAGATTGCTTCATGGAGGTAAAAGGTGAAGTCTTTGCTGGTAGAACAGGTCCAGGAGCTGAGTGAATGAAAGAAGAGGCTGGGAGGGAAAGGGTTCAGCAAGCATCTCCCACAATCTTGGAAAGTGCCCAGAAGCTGGTTAACAGCCACAAGTGTGGAGTGGCCTGGAGTCGTCTGTCTGAATGTTTATAGTGATGTTAAAGTTGTGTGCATCAATCACATAAGTTCCCTGAAAGTTTAGTAGGAATCCTTTCACGTGTTACAGCATAATGCTCAACAACCACCAGGTACCTCTAGGGGAAACTATAACTGGATTCCTTTTAGGCCACTTCATTGCTTTACTCTTACGAGTTCTACGTAGATTGCTCTGTCCAGTTCGGTACTTACTGAACATAACAGGAATCTAGCGGTCATGCTGCAAAGATTTCTCCCTTTCCTTTCTTGACAGTTCTTCTATGCCATCTCCAGCAGTAAGTCATCCAATGTCATTGTCCTACTGCTAGCACAGATCATGGTAAGTCTGATGGACTAGGTTTGTCTACAACTGTAAATACCAGGAACCTTTTATACTTTTAAATATCTTAATGCTTTCTTTTGTACCGATCCTTACAACAAAGTGACTTCTGGCTCCATTTGTGTGACTCGCAGGGCATGTACTTCGTCTCCTCTGTTCTGCTGATCCGAATGAGTATGCCTCTGGAGTACCGCACCATCATCACAGAGGTTCTTGGAGAGCTGCAGTTCAACTTCTACCACCGCTGGTTCGACGTGATCTTCCTGGTCAGTGCTCTCTCCAGCATCCTCTTCCTCTATCTGGCTCACAAACAGGCACCAGAGAAACACATGACGCCTTGAACTCAAGCCACCAGTCACAGACCACAAGCTCGTCGTATCTGGATTTGGCTATGAGAGGAGGGAAGTGGAGGGGACCAGGAACTGTCTTGTTGTTTAAAGGCAGTGGGTGGCATATTGTGCCTCTAGCCTAGACCTTCCTCCTCGTGATGTTAAAACAAGTACTAACTGGCCAGCGTTTGGCACAAAGCAGGTTGTGTTCGTTTGAGGCTGGTGCAATGAGACGCGGTGTGTAAGAGCCAAGAACTAAGAAAAAATATATACTGAAACTCTGGGAGGGCTGAAGTCTAAGGTAGCTGCGTCAAGCACAAAGTATTTACGTCATGGTTCAAGTGGGGCTGGCCATGACTGTCCCTTAAGATTGACTGTCATTAAACCAGAGATTGTAACACTTTGGCCTGTCAAGATCCTACGGTTCATTTTATCAAGCGTGGCACACGATCTCGGTCTCGTAACCTGAGTGGGCATGGCATTCCTGCTCTCCCCCTCCCTGTACCACAAAGCAACCCAGAGGGTTTCTGTTCCTTTCTGGAGGATAGGGAGGATCCACGTAAGTCCCCCCAAAACAAGTTATAAACATATTCTTTCCTTGTAACTTGGTGTTGAGTGAGCAGCCTACACTGAAAACTCAGTGATGCCTTGTTTTTCCTTTCCATCTCACTCTCACGCCACGGGCGGCATTTCCCAAAGTGGGTGATGTGCCAGAGCAGTCCGGGACAGCTGCAAAAGCAGATACCGCCTGCACTTCATCCTGGATTACGGCTGTGCTACCAAAGTCTTTCATTCCCAGGGGGCTGCCGAGTGCTGGGCCTACCAGACCAATTAAGTTTGGAGACCTCGGTACTACAGCGTCGACCCCTAAATAACTGCTCAGATCAAGTCATGTCGCTCTCCTGGGATCCATTTCCTTCATCTGTAAAAAGACGTTAGAAAATCTGTAGAACACTCAAATGCAATTTAAGAAAATGCCAGACTTTTACTTAGAAGTCGCCTTTTATTCCTGAGGTTTCATTCTGTAGTTGATTGTTTCTGCCGGCCTTGGAGCAGATGAAGGTTAAAGCACTGAAAGTCTACCAGCAAGGCCATAGCACTAAACAGAGAAAGTTCGTGTAGAGGGCATTTCTAATGCTATTTATTTCTAGCAACTATAACATTCTTGCAAAAGCATAATTTTAGTAGGCCCGTCTGCAATTAGCAGCCCAGCCCTCAAACAAGTGTATGAATCATCTTTGGTGCCCAAGGAGCCTGTGCAATGAGAGGCGTCTTCCCAGAAATGGGATTACACTGACGCTTGAAAGGTAGGACCCCAAACAGAATGGCTCCTCTCTTAGCTTCTTCCAAGTTGAACATAAATAAACCATCTGCAACCAAACCCAGCCCATGGCCATCGAGTGGATTCTGACTCAGGGCAAACCATCGGTACCATCACCCCAAAAACACATAACATCAAAAGACAATCACTCAAGAACTGGTTTCCAGAGGCGTTCTCTGACAGGAAAAGGTGGCAGCTCGATCCTGGAGAGTGGATTCTTAGTACCCAGAGACCGCCGGTGGCACCCCTGTTCTCCTCACATCGCCGTATCTTCAGAACTGGAAGAAGAGTGGGAGGCTGTGCTGGGGGCCTGTGTGAAAGAAAACAGGGTGATGAGTGGTAGCGTGCAGAGACACGTCTCACACGGTGGACAGCTGCAGACTGAGGTGGGGCAGCGATGCTCGGGAGGCCAGATGGCTTAGCTTGGTTTCTAACTTGCTGCTTGACTCATTAACAAATGTCAGGCTGCCTCCGTGTGATCCTAAAATTAGCTCGATGCTATAAGTACCTTGCCCTAGGTATATCATAGGATTTTTTTAAAAGACAACTAGAATATATTGTTTGGTAAACAATCTTAACATACAAGGTCAATGGCTAGTGTGTGTCTTCATGGAAATCAGTGTTTGTTATTTATGTCACCAATCAGTACAGTTAAATTAAGGTATTGAGAAAAAATGTTGAATTGAGAGACCTTGTTTTGCCATGTAGGAGCCCTGGTGATGTGGTGGTTAGGTGTTGGGCTAGGATCCACATGGTCCGAAGTTCACAACCACCAGCAGCTCCAAAGGAGAAAGAGTGGGCTTTCTACTCCTGTAAACTGTTAACAGTCTTGGAAACCCACCAGAGGTCGCTATGAGTCAGCATCAACTCGCTGGGAAGCCCACCAGAGGTCGCTATGAGTCGGCATCGACTCGCTGGGAAACCCACCAGAGGTCGCTATGAGTCGGCATCGACTCGCTGGCAGTGAGTTTGGTTTTGGGTTTTGCCATGAATTCCTTCCTTTATGAGTTGGAATATGTCAGCTCATTTTTAAACTACAAGTTCATCTATGAGAGGAAGCTGGGTAAAAATATAAAGTAAGCCTGAACAAAGAACTTATCCCATTCAAACAGATAATGTTTAAATTTCCAAGTATTAAAACTTTAATACCTGCCAATTAAACAATACTGTCTGTAACCACCCATCATTTCTACATTCACTATGAACCAGGCGCTGTTCCAAATATTAGTTAATGCAATCCTGTTAAATTTTAGGAAAAAAAACTAAAGTTGTTGACTATTCATACTATGTGTTACCCTTATACTGCTTCCTCTCCCCCACATCACGTGATGGTTCTCTTGACATTGTTATTCTCTACTATTTGAAGACGCCCGTGGCAAACAGAGACACCTATGCAGGCCCCTCGTTAGATAGGAGAACTGGAGCACTGCTTACTCGTTCTTTGACGACGGAAGAGTCATTCTCGGACTCTGCCAGCGGTTCTTCTTTGGAGTCCGGAGGAGCCTCTAGTGGGTCAGCCAGAGAAGAAACAATAGGGGTGTTCTTGGCCTGGAAATAATCGTAGGCCTTCTTTCCACAAACCAAGAGCAGGACAGTCTTCCCGCTGCTCTGGATGCTGTCCACCACCTTCTCATAGGGCTCCTCCTGCACGTTCACCCCATTCACTTCAATGACGACGTCCGCATCTTCCAGCCCGGCCAGGTCAGCGGGGCTGCCCTTCTGTACCTGAGAGCAGGGCTCCGAGTTAATTCCAAACATAGATGAGGGCATGTTACAGACTGACTAGCGTCCCTTTAAGGAATAAAGGAGAGTTTGCGAATTCATTTTCCCTTGAGGTGCAGAAATTAAGAAAGGTGCTCTAGTGCTAATTTAAATACTACCCAAGTGAGAAGTGGTATCAGACTGGTTGAATATCATGTGGGCTACAGGCATTAGGCTTTACAGACCCCCCCTTTCACTCCTAACTTGGACAGCTTGCTCCCGTCAACCCCTGTGTAGTTGAGCTGTCTTGCGAAATTCAGAGTAAACAAATACCACTCCAGTCAGGGTGGAGAGTGACTATCCACTAGAGTCATGTTGACTATTTGATTAGAAAATATCAAGACAGACAATTAAGTAGAACAAATGTTTAGGAAACAACGATGTGAGCTTAGCATATGCCAGGGCAAACTGAAGGTATGGGACCATGACATATCAATCTGAATCCAAGTGAGACCAAATTCAAGTCGGCTTTCAAAGTAACTTACAGGAAGCCATCAGCCGGTGGGGAAGAGACTCTGCACTGGGGCTGGCTGTGTGAGTTGGGGGAGGGGGCGCAGATGACCATACCTCTTTGATGAACGAGCCCGGCAGATCCCGAATGGCATTTAAGTGAAAGCCATAGCCGTTTTCGCCTTTAACCAGCCTGCAGAGTTTGGGCTTGTGGTCTTCCGCATCTTCTGCTGTACTGGAGTGTGCATCCTCCAGAGGAGCAGGAGTAGGTGCTGCAGGCTCCTGGACAGAACCATTGGGCAATTCCTGGCTTTCATAGTAGAGAAATGGAGAGAAACGAGCCTGTTGAACAGAAGAAGCAAAAGGACATTTGGCTTATTTGTCTATAAGTCCGAGTAGTCCCACTTAGTTAAGTATGCTCACTTAAAAATAAGGGGACAGACTTGTTCCACTCTTCTCGAAACAGCCAGTCGTGGACTGTAACATTCCTCTCCTAGCCAGAAAGGTATAAAAGAAGATTGAGCTTGGCAATCTTCACAGATGTCCACCAACGCATACATCTGCTAGAATAAAAGCAGCAAGGGTGCTGTTCCAAGGTCAAGAAAGGGTGCTTGCCCGATTTGGTCATCTCTTCGGACTGTGATAGCCAAGAAAGAGCCAGGTGGTTCATCACATGCAAGCATGGCTCTGCTAACCTGCCCCAGAAAGCAGGTCGACTAACTGCAGTAGTTACTCTGCGACGCTCAGCAAGTCACTGTGCATCGCACAGGCAAGCTCCCTGTTGGGAGGCTGCACACGTGGAGCGCCCAGCCGCTGTCTCATGCACAGTAGTACTTCTGGCTCCCTGCTCTCAGATCCAAACACATTAGAGAAAGTGAGGCGCAGAGCACTATTTTTTTTTCACTACTATACGAAATCCAAGCTATCAAAAGAGACCTATCAGGTGCATAGCATAGCATCATTAGTAGAGGGAAGGGAGCAGCAACTCTGACATACTCATCCATGGTAACCTCCCCACTGTGAAGTCGATTTCAACAGTCTTTGGTCACTCGGCTCGCTCATCTCCCTCAGCCCCTGACGGCTGTTTATCTTTCTCTAAATACGCTGGGTCTTCTGTTAGGCCAGCCGTCCCATCACCTTTAAATATTTTTTAATTCATCTCAATTACAAGACTGTATATGAGAGAGATGTGGTAATCATGGTCTAAATACCAAGCGTAAAACTGGAAACATAACTTTAATAGGCTTAAGAATTTAGCTGGAAGTTTTGGTTGTGAATGCTACTAGATTGGGGTATGGAAAGATCCCAAATTAGCAGTTAAATTGCTGCCCATGAGTATCCAGAACCACTCATTAGAAGATGAATAGAAAGTCAAGCAAATGAAAGTGAGCCCAGTGTGTGCTCTGCCCCCAATCACACCGTTCAGAAGCCTGGCAAAAGTTAGACTTGGGACTCCGGTTATCATCTGTCTTACTAACCCCGTTCCTTTCTAAATGAGAATAGCACCCGCTCATGACCCAGCTACCCAACTCAACTGACTTCAGACCTTTCCCTCCATGATCTACTTGCGAAGTCTCACGTTGGTACCTTCACACATCTGAAAGAGAAACCCGAGTATTCACATGCAAAACCAGCTCTGATCATCTACCCAGAAAGCAATGCAGCAGTTAATCGTGAAATGAAGTCAGTGACAGGAAGTCTAAGCACTTTTAAGTAAAAGTTAAACGCGTAAGGGACATAAAGTTTAAATGAGTGATTTTTCATTCATTCCCCTTTTGAGTGCCTGGTACGCTAAGGCCTGGGATCTCAAAGATCCAAGCCGCCTCCCTCCCTAGGGAGCTTACTTTCAAGGGAAAAGAGAGAGGAAAGGAAAACGCATCATTTTTAGATCAAAGTTCTCACTTGTGTTAATCAAAACTGAAAACAAAAATAGATCACTCTGATCCCCCAGTTACGCAAGTCTGAGGAAGTGACCTGTCAACAGTCTGCGTCCTCACTCACCTGCCATCTCTTCTCCCGCAGCTCAGCTTTCATATGCACAGCAAGTGATTGGGCCCCAAGGGGCAGCATTGCTCACTTCTTTCAAGAGGCCTGAGCAGATCTGCCCAAGTGAAACATTGGATTTCTTGCTGGTGCACTTCCATGAGAATTGATTGTAGATCCAAGTAAATGAAACCCTTGACAAAGGTTGACCTTTTCTTCATGCATCACAACGCGATCATTGGTCCGCTTGTGAGGATTTTTGCTTTCCTAACACTGAAGGCTGTAGTCTGGTCATCAGTAAGTACTTCGAGTCCTCTTCCCGTTCAGCAAGGTTGTGTCATTTGCATATTGCAGATTGTTAACGATGCCTTGCTCCAGTCCTGATGCTGAGTTCTTCATATAGTCCACCTTGTTGGATTATTTGCCCAGGATACACATTGAAGACATCTGTGGTGAGAGGACACAACCCTGATGCACACCTATTTTAAGCCATGTTGTGTTCCCTTGCTCTGCTTGAACAACTGCCTTTTGGTGCACACACATGTTCCACCTGAGGCCAATGAAGTATTCTGGAACTCCCGTTCTTCGCCAACTCTACCCATAGTTTGCTATGATCTATCCAGTCAAATGCTTTAGCATAATCAATAAAACATAAGTAAACAACTTTCTGGTCTACTCTGCTTTCAGCCAAGATCTATCCAATGTCAGCTGGATCCAGCTTGAATTTCTGGAAGTTCCCTGTTGCAACCATAGTTGAATTATCGTCAGCAAAATTTTACTTGCAGGTGACATTAATTATATTCTTCAATAACGCCCACATTCTGCTGGGTTATCTTTCTTTGGCATAAGCACAAACATCGATCTCTTCCAGGTAGCTGTATTCCAGATTTCTTGGCACAGACGAGTGAATGCTTTCAGTGCTTCATCAGATTGTTGGAACATTTCAACTGGTATTCTATCAATTCCTGGAGCCGTTTTTCCTTAATGCTTTTAGTGCAGCTTAGACTTCTTCCCTCGATACCATCTGTTCTGAGTCATCCAATATTTTGCCCACAGAATCCTTCACTAGTGCAAGTCAAGATTTGAATTTTTTCCTTTGCGCCTCTCAATTTGATGAGTGCTGCGTGTGTTCCCTTTTGGTTTTCTCACTCCAGGGTTTGGACATTTCATTATATTTTGTGTTTGAGCTAGCCTTTTAAATGTTCTGTTAAACTCCTTTATTTATGTTATCATTTCTTCACTTTGCTTTAGCTGTGAAGAAATCCAAGAGCAAGTTTCAGTGTCTCTTACATCTATTTTGATTTTTTCTTTCTTGCCTTTAATAAACTTTGGCTTTCTCCGTAGATGTTGTTCTTGATGTCATTGCACAGTTTGTTTAGTTTTTGGTCATTAGTGCTCAGGACATCGAGTCTGTTCTTGAGATGGTCTCTCAATTCAGGTGGGATAGACTCAAAAGTCATACTTTGAATCTTATGAGCTTGTTTTAATTTTCTTCAACTTTATCCTGAACTTGCATATGAGCAATTGATGGTCTGGCTCTGCACTCAGCCCCTGGCCTTGTTTCTCCATTGTCATCGATGCAGTCAGTTCTGTTCCTGCATGTCCCCATCAGTGAGGTCTGCAGGTAGAGTCACCGTTTTGTGTTATTGGAAAAAATATATTTACAGTGCAAAGGTTGGTTTGTAAAGTTCTATTATGCTTCTATCACTGAGGTCAGGTTTTCCAACCATTGAGCTTTTCCTCTGTTTCCAACTGTTTAAAATCATTTTATTGGGCCTCGTACAACTCTTCTCACAATCCATACTTCATCCCTGTTTCCAAATTTTGCACTCTAAGCACCAGTAATTATCAGTGCATCCCAATGGCATGTTTGATCAATTTCAGACTAAAGAAGTTGGCAGAATTTGCACTGGGCGGAGCAGAGCTTTCATAGTGCACATTTTTCCCGCTAGGTGAGCATGGAGCAACTCCCTCTGAGCCAGTGCACCAGTGCACCCAGTGACGTCGCCTGGGATGGTTCTCTCTGTCAGAGGAATTTTTTTATAAAAGCAGCTCGCACAAACAACCTCTTTTTTTGTGATGGCAAATTTAAAAGAATTGCATGTGGCTGTGAAATTTTGTTTCCTACTTGGGGAAACATGACGCAGAAACTGCTGATGTTGAACACAGCTTACAAGGACAGTGCTATGGGAAGCACTCCAGTGTACGAGTGGTTTAGTTTTTGGGGGTTTTTTTTCGTTTCAAAAAAATGTGAAATGTTGAATGATGGCAAATCTCGTTCTAAACATCTGTCAACTTACCCAAACAGATGAAAATGTCTACTCATAGTACATTTGGAGTTCTTGCCACCAGTCAGACTGTTAATCAAGCTTTCTGTTTAGAGGTTCTGAAAAAATAGCAAAACAGTGTGTGACAAAAAAAGGCCTGATTTGTGGCAGACGGGACTGATCCTGGCACCACGACAATGCACCTGCTCATGCTCGCTTCGGCAGCACATAGACTAAACGTTGGACAGTGCACCTGCTCATGCAGTCATCTCAGTGTGCCAGTTTCTGACAAAACAGACAGCATGCCTTTCTTGCCCCACACACCTTACTCACCTGACCTTGCTTTGTGCAACTTTTTTGTTTCCACAAATGAAGAGGAACATGAAAGGACAGCGATTTGACGACATAGAAGAGGTGAAGATAAAAACGAGGGAGGTGCTGTCAGCCATCCAAACAGATGAGTTTCAAAAATGTTTCCAAGAATGGAATCACAGATTTGACAAATCTATTAAGTGTATGGAAAGTACTTTGAAGATGATAAAGACTATTTTGTTAAAAAAAAAAAAATACATAGCCTTAGAAAAAAATTCCTGTTTTGTTTTTTGGTTGTTTTTTGTTTTTTTCAGGTTTTTTTGAGGTACCCCCTTGTATTCTTCTCTGACAACCGGATAGCTTCATTTCAAATTCCCACAGATACCTCAAAACACAATGTCTATAGCTTTTAGGCTGAAGTTGGAACTCCATTCACATGGCCTAGAAGACTTAGCAACTAATACCTTTTTACCTTCTAGTTTCATTGCATGTTTTCTTCTCCAGCCACACTAAAGTTCCTGCTCTTCTCAGACAAACTACATTCCATCCTAGTTCACACACTGCTCTACCTGGGCAGTTCCCCCACCTTCCCACGCCTGTCCCATCCACCTAACTCCAGATGAGTTCACCTATTACCTTGTTCAGATGCCTTCTAGTCTGAGTTGGGGTGTGTGTGTGTGGGGGGGGTGTACGTACACATACATCTTTGTCTTCTGCTTCTCGGTCTTTCCTTGTTCACGTGACCCGGACACACCTGAGGAGTACTGGTCACCTCTTCTGAGGAGTGTCTTTGCTTTGGGTTTGTCTGATCTATTGTTTCATCAGACCTGTGGGTTCTTGATACCTCACACATGGTATTTATCTTTTCAAATTGTGGGTCTTTACCCACGCACTAAACTGAAAGTGAGCCATGTCCTAGTCTGAACCTCCTTAGCAATGGGCACAAAGTAATCACCAGAGTTTGAAAGCACGTGGGAATGAGTCCACCCTAACATGATTAGGAGACCGTGTGTCACTTACCAGTCTGTACATGGTGTCTGTCTCCTTGTCCACTACCAACAATGAAGTCTTGTCTCCGCCCTTCCTAATCATTTCCACCACACCATCATGATCGAGGTTTTCCACAGACGTGCCATTGACGGCAATGACCAGGTCATTGTTCTTCAGGCCAGCCTTCTCTGCTGGGCTTCCAGAGTCTATGTCCTTGATGATCTGACCTGGGCTTTGACCTTTGGGGGGCGGGGGGGGCGGGGACAAAACATGTAAGACCTCTAAATGCTGCTTCAAATAAACAGGATTCTGCTGGAACCCAACACCCTACTGAAAGATACAAGAGGCATGCTGGGTGCAACAATTGTCCCGTCTACTCGCACCCCAAAAAGCCTATAAGCAGCCGATCCTGCACCTCAGGCCCTGCTCAAAACTGACTCCAGGGACAAGCCCAGCCAATCACAATGAAGGGATCTTAAGGTAAAGCACGTTGTTACTAAACGTGTCCAACATTCAACCTTGATAAAAAATAGCATGCTATGCATTAAGTATCAGCATGTTCCCCAGGAGGTCAGTGAGCACACTTGTATACTCAATCTGTATATACAGACTGTATATATAGACTATATAGTGTAAAACCAAATTGACCCCATGATGGCTCCAGGATCTTGGGCAGGCTGTGGTTTCGTGTTTCCTAGCAGTGCCAAGTAGGATGTACCCAGAGACTGAGGCTAGCCAACCCAGAACTACACAGCGAATCCAACCTCCAAGGGGAGGACCACATGGCCAGCGCGGGAACTACACAAAGGACCAGACTGCCAACCTACCTCAGATGAGCCAATCAGTGGATTGACGGGAAGGGGGGGCTGGGAATGCCCCTTTACATATACCTGTAAATAAATACTTTGGAATTTCTTTTGTGGGGGCTCTTGTCCAAGAGGGTGCACGCAGATAAGCACCTGAGAACTCGAGCCTTGGCTTCATCTAGCATAATAAAACCTCTTCTGTAATTGCAGCCTTGTGTTTCATCTTCCATTGAAAGGGTAATTGCTCCAGGTCCCTAACAATAGAAGCTAAGCCATAAAATTAGAGCTAGGGAAGAATGATCAACAAAGCCAACAATTCCCACACTAAGAAATGATTGGGTTCATTTACTTGTGAACCTGTGTGTACGCCTCAAGGATGGGTCTTTAACCTCATGATTTCAACTATCTTCATGGGGTGTCTGCAGATCACTCACCCTTTCTTATCCCCAACTGTTTTAACGAGCTCAGATTTCATTTTCCCAGCTAGCTGCCAGACAGCCCAGAACCACCGCCCACTGGCCTTGAGTCCATGCTGACCCTCTGTCGGGTTTCTACCGTATACTGTGTGGAAGCAGAGAACCTTCTTTCTCCCGCAGAGCAGCTTGTAGGTTTGAACCACCAGCGTGGTAGTGAGCTTATCCGACACTACTGCCCGGGGCTCCTTCCGCTATCCTGTGATCCCCACTAATGTAATGTATTCAAACTATAGGCATCTCTGCCCATCTCCCCATTCTAACGCCCCTCCACTTGCTCATCTGGCCATGGTAGCACCATTCCTTAACCACCAACACTGAGAAACTGATTCTTCAACTCCCACTCTGATGTCACTTTGGAAGTTCTTTAATGCTACCTTCATATTTTACACATCCCACCCCACCCCTCCACCTTCTCTAGGCCCACTTCCTCTCCCCTAAGTATAATTTGTATAACTCCTGCCTAGACTTCTACCCATACTACTCAAAAATAAGCTCCCACTCACTGCCACCCAGTCAATTCTGATTCACAGCGACTCAAGAAGACAGGGTCCTATGGATTTCCGAGACTGTACCTCTTCCCAGGAGTAGAAAGCCCCTTCTTTCTCCAGAACCCACACTATTATAGCACATTACTAATGTATTAGCTTTAGTGAATGGTAGACTCCTTGGCGGAAGGGTTCCCCAGTAACTCAATCTTCCCATAGGCCTTAGGGCTGCGTCACCGCCGCTCTTTCGATGCTTAATGCTTCCATTCTCTGCCACATACAGAAGCACCTTCAGACTCAGCATCGAGAGGCCCACGTTTGAGCCAGTCCTTCCTCAGCGCAAGAGAGAAGAGCACCACTTTGGAACAAAACCCAAGTCTGAGCCCTGCAGTACAGCTCGATGACTCTTACCTTCCTCAGCTCTCACTCCCAGCCATTCTTTACAGAATTGTTAGGATTACGTGGGTGTATAAAGCCCTGCAGGCTAAATTGCTTTCAACTCCCTTACCGGGCTCAAAAAAGAAACATAACTCCCCCTCGATTGCAGAACGAAATTCAAACTCCTTGATCTGGCCTTAAAAGTCCCTGCCTAGCTCTCGTTAACCTCGTTTCCTCTCGGTCGTTTCCTACTCTACACGTGGATGCCAAGCTGTGTTTATCTACTTCGTTCACCAGGCTCCTCGCTTCTAGAATGACCTTTCTTCACCCCTTGCTCATCCACTTGCCCAAATCCCATCCCTATTACAAAGCCTCCGCTCAAGCGCCACTTCCACTATTAGGCCACCCAATGTTGGTGGGAAAGGCTTGTTCTCATCTTGGCTCTCCCCCCGCCCACAGGCTTTTATTAAGATGTTCATCATTACCCAGAATTGTGGCTATATCTGCCTTATCTCCTTCACTAAAGGGTGGATTCCTTGACTGAAGAATTCCTGTCTGATTCATTTGATATTCTCAAAGGCCCTTGGAATGTCTTGTGCATAATATGAACCTAATTCTTGATGAACAATGTAGATATACATATGGACAAGAAGAACACTGTGTAACTGTTTTCATGGTCTGAACCTATACCTTTATGAATGTTTATTCTCCCTGAAAGGACCTTCCTTATTTTTGCTTCTAAGGGACAAGGAAGCAGAAGACTCTGAGCTCTGATCCCCATATCCTAACCCCTACCTCGACTCCAGATCCAGGGATGTGCTGGAGCCGGCTGGTGCACGCTCACGTGCTCACTCGCCGGTCCTGCGCCTCCCTTCTCAGCGCTGCCTCAGTGACGCCACGCTGGGGCCTTGCAGGCAGGTCGTCACGGTGGCTTTACAGTGCAGACATTTGCCAGGGGGCCACTTTCCCAGAGTACCATCACTGGGATATCTGCCTAATTTTTTAAAGGATATTTGTATTGATTTGTCATTTAAACTCCTCTCTAATTTCTGAAGATCTTCACTTTATTCTTTCCCTTTATTTTTTTTTTTTGTACTTAGGGTGGAAATCTACAGAGCAAATTTGTTTTCTCTAGAAGTCCTGGTGGCATAGTGGTTATATGTTGGGTTGCTAACCGGGAGGTCAGCAGTTTGAAACCACCATTCTACTCCTGTGAAGAGTTACAGTCCCAGAAACCCATGGGGGCAGTTCTACCTTGCCCTCTCGGGTCACCAGGAGCCAAAATGGACTCGATGGCAGTGAGTTTGGTTTTGGGGTATTCATCAGTGTACTCCCCTTTTGTTCCATGACATCGGATGCAATGCCCTTGATGTAACAGCACTCATGCCACGTCCCACGGTCCCGTTTCCATGTGTCCGTCTCCTGCCCTGAGCTTTGCGCTAGGACAAAGCTGCCTTTGGTTCCGCGGGTTGACTGGGCAGAGGAGTGAATTCTCCCCGGTGTACCTCTTTCCTTATAGGCCTCCCCTTATCAGTTTGCTCTAAACTTGGGGTTGTCCTACGTCAGGGCTCCATGTGACATAGAAACTGGCCCAGCTCTGCTTTCTAGTGCCTTACTGCTCTCATGCATCTGGCGGGGAGTCAGGGAGATGATGGATTTCTGACGTCAGACCGGGCTGAAGAATTGGATGGTTATACCGCTGAGTTTTCTGCCCTTCACGTTCTTACCTTTCTGTGTTGGGCAATCCCTCAGATAGAATCCGTAGCCATTACTCCCCTTCTTGATCTCCACCAGCCGAGGCTGATGGGGTAGCAGTTTCACACTGGTTGTTTCTCTCCTAACCGCCGTCTTCTGCTCTCTATAGCGTGTGTCAGTCTCCTTGTCTAGCAGAAGGAACATAACACGACTTCCTGATTTCTTCACCTGAAAACACACACGTGCGCTGCGCGTGAGGACCACCACCAAGCTCCAAGCAGGACGCTATCAAACAGGGAAGTTTCTTGATAAAAGGCAACGGGGTCTAAATCCAAGGCCCAAGTATAAGTCGTGGGGAACCGTGTCCCAGCCACCAAGTGTGATTCGTCGACCTCCACAGCATCTACGTTTGTCAAGATGACCTCACCCTGCAGATGTCAACCGAACCCAGGTGAGCTTTCGTTCAGAAAGACTCCAAGAGGTACTTGGGAAACGGCTAGAATAGGAAAGTTTGGAAAATAAAGGTCCTGCTTTTTAAAGACACTACCAAAAAGACTGGTCTGTTTTCAAGGTTCAATATGATCACGAAAGAAAATCAGAGTGGTGTCCATGTATCCTAGAAGCCATGAAGGGACATAACTTTGGGGACCAATAGGCCACTCAATACTTGTATATCATTTTATATTTACCATCATATTGGTTGTCTTCCAGTTTAAGTAAAAATACCAAATATTGCATTTATTACAAACTCCAATTAGCTACCAATTAGGTACAAGTAAAGCCTAACAAACCGCTAATGAGTCTTCAGACCACTCTTCAAGATTACATGGCATTACCAAAGGCCATATTCCAACCCTGTCTTCACACTGCGGGTGTCGCTGGTGAAGACGTTCATCCTTAAAACAAAGGGCGACTCACCTGGATGTGCCTCCTATCACAGATTCACCCTGGCTCCTACCATTGCTGACTTCTGGCACTTCCAGTGAGGAGGAGGACAGAAGAGGCAGTCAAAAGTAAAATAGATAAGCAAGCACTCTTCCGGGGCGTACCTTTTCAACCACTTCCTCGTGGCTGGCATTTTCTACATTCTCTCCATTCACTTCAATCAAATGATCTTCAGGTAGGACCCCAGCTTTCATAGCCACACCCTGAGGTGTTATATCAGTCATATAGACCCCCTTTACACCTGAAGAGGGAGGAAGTAGACAAGAATCACCACTCCGTCACAGACAAACCGGAACCCCAGTGGTAAAGGGTTTTCTCCCTGTAATTTGACAATGAACCTCCAGTTTGGGGCTAGACTCTGGCTTCTGGTCTACCAATGCAATTATAGTTCCTAACACAAATATAGGCACAGGTATTATTCAACTCGTACTTACTGATTTCAGTAAATTCTCATCCTAAGTAAATGTGAGGAAGTGGCACTGGCCTCTTGGACCAGAAAGCCCCAAATGAGGCCCTTTTTTTTTTTTTTTTGTAGAATTAGGATCTTTTGCATACTCCCTCTTTAATTAGCAGCAGTGGCATCATAGCCATTTGCTGGGTCACAAGGTCAGCAGTTTGAAACCACCAGCCGTTCTGCAGAGGAAAGGGAAGGCTTTCTACTCCTGTGGCGTTCCAGCCTGGGGAGTCCAGAGGGGCTCTGCTGTGTCCTGTAAGGGTTGCTGGGCGGCAAAACGGACTCGATGGCAGCAGGGCCTGCCTCGGTTTTGCGGTGAGTCGTCACCAACATTCCATGCCAACAGAGTCCTGCGTTACCCTGGTAGATGCTCACGAGGGTGGGAGGCCCGGAAGAGGGGCGGGCACAGAGTCCCTCAGCGTCCTAGCTGGGATGCTATGTCCAGGGTACTGAAAGGATTCATCATAAATTCTTTCAAGATTGTATCACTTCCCTCTAAGCAAAGGGTAGATCCATAAGGACTAGATCATTTGTAAGAAATAGGAGAACTTAAGTTCTGTTTCCTTTTAACGCGTCACCTTTCTCCTGTTACCTTGCTAAACATTTTTCACGGAGGAAGCATTTTCTTCATAGAACTACCCTACACCATGACGTGGATGATCACAGGAGCCACGTGTGTAGGATCTGCATGATGGCATCGTAAAACCATCGGACTGATAGCAAGCTTCGGGGCTCTCCTTGACCCCTCCCCTCTCTTGCTGCAAGTCAAACCATCCTTGGAGATGACTTTGTTTCCCACCGGTCTGCTCCTCTCTCACGTAAGTATGACCACCCTGGTGCGCTCCACTACCAGAAAGCACGTGGACAGGGGCCACACGAGCACTGGAACCCACAGGCCAATAAAGCTCCTCTCATTCCAGCCCAGATTCCAGAGTCACCAGGACAGAACTGCATCAGCGGAGCGACAGGACACAGAATCTCCAGTACGTTCTGATGGTCCGGGTTTCTCCCATCGCTATGCGCCTCTCAACTAGAGGTCAGGAAGCCCCTCAAACAGGTGAGTCTGGGCCACAGCTGAGGATATCAGGGAAGGGTCACAGCAAGGAAGGGAGTTTTGCGATATCGCTAGCACTTAAGGTATCTTGACACAACAGGTGCTCAGGAATTTAGTAAATCAATAGCCACCTGGGAAATGAGGGATGAGCAGTAATCCCAACCTTCCTTTGAGTTATCACAAAGCTATAGCAACTCAAAAACCCACTGCCATTGAGTGCATGCCGACTCACAGTGACCCTGTTAAACGGTAGAACTGCCCCATGGGCTTCGGAGGCTAACTCTGTATGGGAGTAGAAGGCTCATCTTTCTTGCTCCCACACAGCAGCTAGTGGTTTCAAACTGCTGCCTTTGCTAGCAGCCCAGTGCCCGAGCACTATGCCAGCAGGGGTCCCTGGGTATCCCAACGAACCTCCGTATTCTTCTCTCTTATGCCCCTCTCTCTCTTCCCTCCCCTCCTCACCCTAAAGAGATTCGAAAGCAATAAAGCAGCACCAACCCCCTTACTCTCTGGCCTCCAAGACCGAGCCTGAGAAACGAAGACAGGAATACCTAGCATTGCTCCCCTGCTGCCCACTGTCCCCGCCCTCAGCGGCCCTCACAGGGAGCGGACAGGGAGGGTGGTGGCCAACTGCTGGAGGACAGTCAGAGCCACTGAGAATTTGGTCAAAAAAGGAAAAGTCATGAGTCAGTGAAACCTTTCTTCTGGGAAGCTGGTTGTCCACCTCCGCTCTCACAACTTACTTGGCACCGTTTTGAGCGAGAAGCCGTAGCTGCTCCCCTCCTTCACCAGGTAGCACAACCGAGGCCGGGCCCAAGGCTCAGCGCCACCAGGGCTCCCTGTGGGAAACAGCTTCTCATTCAACTCTGGCTTCGGACTTGGACCCAGCTGCTTCAAGTCTATCTGTGTTTTAACTGCTCTCTCATAGGCCTTCCCATCCAGAACGAACAGATTCACTGAATTCCCACTCTTTCTGACCCGGTCCACAACCTAGGAGGGAAGCAGAAAAGCATTACATTCGCCCATAAGCTTTGACCAATGGCCAAACGGAAATGCATGCTCACCATCTGGCTCTAGTTAGGCTGATGGCTGCCTTAAGATCCAGAGAGTATGCAGCGAGTGTCCCAACCACCTCCCTAACCTGCCAGAGGTCTAGGTGCAGCCTGGGCCAGGGCTCTGGCACTGTTGGAATCTAGATTGTGCCCCCAACTCCAGTCCTTGTAGGAGAACCCTTGTGAAGAGGAATCCTGTCCTGGAGAAGAAGTCGTCCAGAGCCCATGGTGCCACCTGCACGGAATCAGACAAGAACTCGCCTGTGGAATAGACAGTTGGGATCAAGGCTAGACTTTCGCATTTCGTCACTCCATGAGCACATAAACCAAGTGGAGCCTCTGCGAAACGGCAATTTAACACTATTCAAAACTATGCGTAATCTAAACAGTTCTTAGCTACATGGTAGTAGAGTTGGTTGACCAGTGGACGGTACAAAGATAAAGTTGCCCTCCTTTGCCAGCAGAATCCAGCAAAGAATCAGGCTCCAATAGCTCCAGGAACCCTACCCAACAGAGGAGAGAGGGTTGAAGAAGTCCAGGGAAGAGAATCCAAATGTCTCATTCACCTGCATGTGCTCCTCCTTGTCCACAAAGACACCATTGATCCGAAGAACTCTGTCTCCATCCTGGAGGCCAGCAGCCTCTGCTGGACTACCCTTCTCCACCACTCGGACCAGGTGCCCATCGGTGTCCTTCTCGATTCTCAGGAAGAAGCCATAGCTCTGCCCTTCCTGTTTGGACAGCTTACATTCTCGGGGGTTGAGGGAGGCCATTGCTGTGATGACAAAGAGGTGGGTAAATCCAGGGGAAATAAATCGGAGGAGAATGATAACTTTTTATTTCATTTTCTTCTTCTAACCGTACTAAATCTGGAATACTTGGGTAGCGATGTAGGGGTACAGAATGCCTCTTTACAAACCTGACTTCTAACCCTATAACCCCAGTGATCATCCTTTGAGTCTCAGACCCTTCTAGGTCTTCAACAGAGTCCAGTAGAGAAAGGGTTCCTGTGACCGAATCATGTCCTCCCTTCTGAAACCGCTCCCAGGCTCATCCAGCCTGGCCTCCATTTGCCCCACTGCAGGAACAAGGGCCCGTGCTATATATAGGAGGGCAGGCCTCTGCTCACTAAGCTGTCTGCAGGGCACGTACCTGCGTTCCCCTGGTCGCAGTTCCCCATCATTAAGTCAGAACAAACCCTCTGTCCCTTCCTACCTGGAAAGCATGCAGGGTGTGAACACTGGGCAGCCATGGAGCAACGACAAGTGCCAGACTTCCCAGAAACCACTCCACGGTGATTTGAGACAGCCACCTCTGACCTTGGGGCCCACAGAGGCGCCCAGTGCTCACCCACCGCGAGCCTCCCACTGCCCATGGATGGCTGGCCCGTCCTGCGGGCTCAGCAAAGTCAGCTAGCCTCACCGCCCGACACTGGCACGAATGACTAAGCAGCCAAGATGACACACCGTTTTTCAAGTGATCGCTGGTCAAGGGCTCAGGTCTGAGTAGCACGGGCGAGGGAAAGTGAAGCCACACCTGCCGGTGGTCATCGCCCACACCCACGGTGAGCTGGCTGCTCTGCCGGGTCAAGAGGGATGAGCAGTGTGAGTCCAGGTGGACTAGAGAAACGAATCCACAGAAACTCACATCTCTATAAGAAATACAACTTTCCTCTAGTTCCTAAATGCTTCCTCCCCGCTCCCACTACCATGACTCGAATTCGACTTTGCAAGTCTGGCTAGACCAGAGGATGTACACTGGTACAGATAGGAACTGAAAATCCAGGGA